GTGTGGGCCTGGCTCGGTGTGGGCCTGGCTCGGTGTGGGCTTGGCTCGGCCTGGTGGACCCAGGACCTGCCTGAGCCTCCCCGATGAGGGAGCTGGCCATGAGCAGGCAGGTGCAGTTGCAGCCCAGAAGGCCAGTCACATCCTGGGGATCGAGAAGGGCAACGAGGCTGGGGAGGGGTCTGGAGCACATGTCTTACGAGGAGAGGCTGAGGGGGCTGGGGGTGTTCAGTCTGGGGAAGAGGAGGCTGAGGGGAGACCTTATCGCTCTGTACAAGTACCTGAAAGGAGGGTGTAGAGAGACAGGGGTCGGTCTCTTCTTCCAAGTTACAGATGATAGGACAAGGGGTAACGGCTTCAAGTTGTGCTAGGGTTTAGTGATGATGCTCCTTGTTTGTTGTGTGGGTGTCTATTTTTGTCAGTGAGGTTGACGGTTGGACAAGATGATCTTTAAGGTCCCTTCCAACCTAGAAGATTCTGTGATTCTGTGGGTGCAGTTGCAGCCCAGAAGGCCAGTCGCATCCTGGGGGATCTAGATAGATTGGATCACTGGGCCAATGCCAATGGAATGAGTTTCAACAAGGGCAAGTGCAAGGTCCTGCACTTGGGCCACAACAACCCCCTGCAGCGCTACAGGCTGGGGGAAGTGTGGCTGGAGCTGCCTGGAGGAAAGAGACCTGGGGGTTCTCATTGACAAGCGGCTGAATATGAGCCGGCCGTGTGCCCAGGGGGGCAAGAAAGCCAACGGCATCCTGGCTTGTATTAGAAATAGTGTGACCAGCAGAAGTAGGGAGGTGATTGTGCCCCTGTACTCGGCACTGGTGAGGCCACACCTGGAGTGTTGTGTCCAGTTTTGGGCACCTCAATCCGAGAGAGATCTGGAGGTGCTGGAGCGAGTGCAGAGGAGGGCAACGAAGCTGGTGAGGGGGCTGGAAAACAAATCGTATGAGGAGCAGCTGAGGGAGTTGGGGCTGTTTAGTGTGAGGAAGAGGAGGCTGAGGGGAGACCTCATCACTCTCTACAACTACTTGAAAGGACACTGTAGAGAGGCTGGTGCTGGTCTCTTCTCGCAAGTAACTAGTGATAGAACAAGAGGGAATGGCTTAAAGCTGCAGCAGGGGAGGTTTAGACTGAACATTAGGAAACAATTCTTCACAGAAGGAGTGGTCAGAGACTGGAACAGGCTGCCCAGGGAGGGGGTTGAGTCACCATCCCTGGATGTGTTTAAGAGTCGTTTAGATGTGGTGTTGGGGGATATGGTGTAGGGGAGAACTTTGTGGAGTGGGGTTGATGGTTGGACTCGATGATCCCAGGGGTCTTTTCCAACCTTGATGATTCTATGATTCCTTGACCCTTCCTGGCCCTCACCCTCCTGGACCCTGCCTCTTCTGCCCACCCTCATCCTCCTGACCCTGACCCTGTCTTGCCTGCCTGTGACCGAGATCCTCCTGGACCCTGCCTAGTCGTGACCCTGATGCTCCCTGACCTTCCTTGATTCTCTCTTGACTGCCTGCTCCTGACCCTGATCCTGCTTCTTCTGCCTGACCCCGGCCTGGCCTCCTTGACCCTGACCCTTCCTAGCACTCCTTCACTCTGACCTTCAATCCTGACCCTCCTGGACCCTGCCCCTTTTGCCCACCCTGATCCTGACGCTGACCCTCCTGGGCCCTGCCTCTTCTGCCCACCCTCCTCATGACCCTGACCCTCCATGACCCTGCCTGACCATGACCCTGATGTTTCCTGACCTTCCTTGACCCTCTCTTGACTGTCTGGTCCTGACCCTGCCTCTTCTGCCCACCCTGATTCTGACCCAACTTGACCCTTCCTCTCCTGCCTGACCTTGACCCTGCCTCTCCTGCTGGCTCTGTCCCTCCCCAGGATGGCCGGGGGGAGCTGATTTTCTATGAGCGCCCCGACGCCGCCGGCCCCAAGCTCTCCTGCTTCAGCATCACCCCCACAGACGACCCCGACGGGCTGGAGGTGAGCACTGGGGGGGCCCGGGACAGCACACCCAGGGGTGCTGGCTGTTCCCTGCCTCACGGGGGGCTCCTGCCCTTGGCTTTGCCCCCCTGGCATGGCCTGGTGCTGTGGCTGCCCCTTCCCAGCTCCTCTCCATCGCAGGCGGTGCTGGGGCAGGCGCTGGGCGTGCTGGGTGTGGTGAGGAAGGAGAGACTCCTCTACCTCGTGGGACAGACCCGGGTGCACCTGGACAGCGTGGAGGGGCTGGGGGACTTCCTGGAGCTGGAGGTGAGGGGGGGGTCTGGCTTCATCCCAGCTGGCAGCTGGGACCACGGAGCCACTTCCACAGATCTCCCACTTCCCCACGGGCGGGTGGAAAGAAGGGGCAGGGGAAAGGGGAAGGGAAGGGGGTAAGGGAAGGGGACAGGGGAAGGGGGTAGGGGAAAAGGGAAGGCAATAAGGGAAGGGGATAGGGGAAGGGAAGAGGAGGGGAGGGAAGGGGAAAGAGAAGGGGAAGGGAAGAGGAGGGGAGGGAAGGGGAGGGGAAAGAAAGGGAAGGGAAAAAACCTGGTGGGTTATTAGACCAATAACAGAAGAAAGAAAATAACAATATTAATGATAATAAATAATAATAGTAATGGTAAAAGAACTTAGGAGATGCAGTAACCCAGCACAAGTCACTCTCACCACCCGATGGTCGGTTCCCCAGCCCATCCCAGCAGGGATCACAAACTCCCACCCCCGGCCACCCCCCATTTCTCCACCAAGCTCGAGGTCTGTGGTACAGAACATCTCACTGGCCCTTCCATCCTTCTGTCCGTGCTCCTCCCCAGCTTCTGTGGGAACCTGAGAAAGGTCCCTGAATAGTATGAACATCACCCAGCAACAACTGAACCAATATGTGTTATTGACACTCCTTTCATACCAAATCTGAAACATGGTGCCTCCTGGAAAGAAAACTAACTCAGTCCCAGGTGAAACCAGGATGGTGGGGCCTTGCTGGGGTGTGGGGGCCATCCCTGGGGGGCCTGGGCTCACCCTCCCCGTGCCCACAGGTGGTGCTGACGGAGGAGCAGACAGTGGAGGACGGCGAGCGCGTGGCCCAGCAGCTGATGAAGGAGCTGGGGATCGAGGAGCAGGACCTCATCTCTGGGGCCTACCTGGACCTTCTCCTGGCCAAGGGGCAGTCGGGCTCGTGAGGACTCGCTGGTGGCCCCCCCGCTGCCACCCCTCAAGGGGCTGTGAC